CCCTGAGCCGGTGAGATTTGAACCGCTGACCTGCTGATCTAGCAGTAGCCTGCAGTGCTGCATTTAACCACTGCGCCACCTTGGCTCTTTAAAGGAGTATGTGGGTGTTAGTGGTGAAGAAAAGGTTAAGAACCATTGCCTTAGACCATGGGTGTCAAACTCAAGACCCACGGGCCAGATCCAGTCCATGAGGGGCAACCCTGGAAACAGCAAAGGAATGGCCTGTGGAGCCTCTGCCAGTGAAAATGGGTTCTTCCTGAGCTCCATTTCCGGTTGCGACGGCCTCCTGCAAGCCTCTGCCAGCAAAAATGGAGCTGGGGAGGGCTGGCAGAGGGTTACAGGAGGTCGTCGCAGCCAGAAATGGAGCTTAGGAACCTGTTTTCGCTGGCAGAGCACTCGGGCCGCCCCAGGTGCCGACATGAATGACATCAAGCAGGCCACACCCACTCTGGCCACACCCACCCCAGCTCCCTGAGGTCAAATACAACCCTGATGCGGCCCTCAATGAAATCAAGTTTGACACCCCTGCCGTAGACAAACAGGCCCTAACCTGTTTAGCCTTTGAAGGTAGAAAGCAACATCTTACAGTGAGCACCGAAAGCAAGTGGCAATTTTTATAGGCCGCTGTGTCGGTTCTAAGGGCAAAAGACACAAGGGCCTGCAGAAGTTTCTATGCTCATCCTACAGCTGTTAGTACGCAAGGCATCCCATCCATTTCCCTTTTTCTCCCTACCTCTCTTGCTCAGTGAATACTCCTTTCTGGCCACTTACCCAGGAGGATTTATCTTTGCACTTCGCTGGGGGGCTGCTGGACCCAGGGTTCCCCAGCATCTTGCGGTACATCTCTGCCTCGATGTTCTTTTGGTCAGCGTGCTTTTTGGCCAGTTTCGAGAGCTCGGTGTGAATGGTCTGGAGGCCGATGGAGAACAGAATATGGCATGATTGGGGGTACCGTTAAGAAGGTGAGAAGAACACTTCTACATCAGAGTGCCTGGGTTATTTACTTATTTATTTTATTTTATTTATATCCCGCCTTTATCAGTTTTTATAAGCACTTCAAGGTGGTAAATATTTATTTATTTATTTTTTTATTTTATTTTTTTTATTTTATTAAGGATTTATATGCCGCCCTTTTCCCTGAGGGGACTCAGGGCGGCTTACAACAATGAGGGG